ATACATACATACATACATACATACATACATACATACATACATACATACATATTTGACCCAATGGCCATACTTGGTCTTTTGAGTGGTATGTTGGGGATAGCAATACAATGAAGGATAGGCTATAAAAAGTAAAAAGCAAAATAGATTCTATATTAACATATGTAGCTGTTATGTAAAGTTTTAGCATTCTCTTTATTGCTGATAAACCAAAAGTATTATGTTGCTATTTAGGTAAACCAACAAGCTGTATCTGCCTATGTGTCTTCCTTCCTTTAATAGAGCTGCAAAAAGATTAGACAAAAATATTTAGTACTATTACATCTGAAATATTAGAACTGTTTAAGATACCTCAGGTTCATTAATCATAATAATAGGCTTATTTCAACAAAGCAGTTGAAATGTGATTTCCTGATATGGCCTTTTTCAGATATTTTGTACTATAATGACCAGTGGCAATACCCACCATGACCAATGGCCAAATAATGACATGATTCTATTCTGAAATAGAATGCATCAAGTTAAAATGTCAGTTAATGAGCACATGTGGCTTTTTAGTTAAACTCTATGTTTTTTCATGTCTTTGTGAACCCAAAACAACTAACAGATTTTGCATTTCAGGAAACTGGGTCCAGTACTTAAGGTCTATATAAGTCTCTAATTGCTGATTGCCAAATACACAAAATGGGATAAATCTGAAGTTGGTTTATATAGTTAAGCACAAATTTTGATTATAGAATCTTCCTTCTGCAATTTAACAAGGAAGTCAGAACGACAGTGAAAATAGTTCTTTCAATTAAAAGAACTGGCAAAATATATTATCCGTGATACAATCTTGGATCAAAACTCTGACCTTGTACAGATAAAAGATAAATAATCTCTCCTAGTTGTGTCTCAAAGTTAATACAATTACTTGTTTAAAGATTAAGAAAATGTTTCTGCATTTGTAGCTTTCCTCATGATCCTCACAGTCACATTACCTCATATATTTATGAAGAAACTGCAGAATTTCAAACCAGGAAAGAATTTGGTAATGAGAATAAAACCAAAAGATCCTTTATAGATGTTTCTGGGTTAAAGACTTAACTTTAAAGAATTAAAGATTCTGCTTTAATTCTGAAGAAAAACAGAACAATCCCCACAAATACAATACTCACTGACGAAGTATTCTATCAGTCAGTTGGCCAATTTTGACTCCGTACTGCTGCACTTAGGAACTCTGAATATGTGGGAAGACACATAGCTTACTTCCTGAGCTAGCTGAAGTCAATAATGGCTCTTTAGTCACAGAATCAAAGAGTTGTAAAGAACCACTCCAATTTTCTGCTCAGTGCAAAATCTGCTAAAATACTGGGGTCAGCTTAAGATTTCATGATAATGATTGACCTGACCCAGGTGATACTTCATCATATTAAATTGGTACTTTGTTCTGGTATAGTTTGTGATTAGAATGTGGGATATGACGTCTACATGGCGTCTCTGAAATGGGCAGATGATGCTGTGATCACAGAATGTCAGCTAGTATAAACACTACGGGAACTGAGGACTAGTTTAAAATAATTGAATCATTCAAGAATCTTAGTAGTCTGTACACCTACTTATGCTATGACAAGGTTAAGATGAATGTTGACTTTAAGAATCATCTTGTTAGCCATGCCATCCTAAGGTTATGGAATAAATATAAAACAAGATTCCCTCTTTGGGTACCTCTTTGGGTATCATCTCAGGAAGCTTTTTTACATAAAAGAAATGATGGCGAGCTCAGACTGATGGACTTATGGTTAGAGAATAATTTTTAATCAAGGTGGAACTACTCTTTAATCTAAAAAAAGAGTTGGAGTTAATTAGAAGGATGTGTCTATCTTTGGTTTACATATATACAATTGAAAGAAAGATTTAAAGTAGTCAAAATGTTATGGGTTTGACCTTGCAAAAAATGAATTTGAAATTGTATTATATGATAATGATGAACAGGTTATTATCAAGGTTTATAATCTGTTATTGAACAAATATGTAAAGCAATGCATCATTCAATGGGCAAAGAATTTTGGGTATAATGCTGGAACAATGGGATGACGGGCGAGAGAAGGGTTTAAAATCTACATTGGACTAGAATTAAAAGAATTTTTGTACAAAATGTACTGTTGGTATTTAACACCTAATAAATTGTTAAAGATTTATAAATATACTTCAAATGTATGTTTGAAATGTAAACATATGGAAGGAATTTTCTATTAACTTTGGTGGACTTGTGACAAAGCAAAGAAATACTAGGGTAAGATTCATATTTTAATACCAAAAAATTCTTAAAACTAATATATAAATTAAACCTAAGACTTTTCTTCTACAGTAAATGGACAAAGAACCAGAAAAAAATTGGAACTTTTTTTGTTTTACATGTTGACCACAGTGGGAATGTTTTATGTTCAAAACTGAAAAGATACATTAATTCCCACAATGGAAGAATGATAGAACAGGCAGTGATGGCCAAATTAATGGCTTTAATCAACAAGAATAGAGCTAACTATCTGGAAATCACTTCTGGATTTTGCGCTTGATAGAAAAAAATGAAACTTTTTTGTGATTTACTGATTAGACAAGTTTTTTTGCTAGAGAAATGTCTAGTATATGTGAAATAAGAAGGCTGTAATGTAATATGTTCCTTCTAATGAACTGAAAAGTTAATGCTTTTTCCTCTTCATCCTTCACTTCTCTCTTTCCACTTTCCCAAAATTTTCATTTTCATTTTATACTCTTAATATGTTATATTGTCAACATCGAACCACACCTGGCAGAAACCATTTCTCTTCCACATAAGTGGAAGAGGGGAAGGAGATTGGAATGCCTTACTAGACACAACAGAGAGCTTTCTCATGGGAACCAAGGTCATCTCTACTGGGAACGGACAAGGTTCGGAAAGGAGTGCCTGGAGAGCCTGCCTGTTGACCTAATTGGCCAATCTGACCTGTGACACTTGGGGATGGGTTTATTTTTTATTTTAATTATACTGAAACAGCGGGAACTATTTAGAGTTGATTTTCCTTTAACTTGTGCTGACATGATGTACTCAATAAAGAAGTCCTTTGAAATGGATTCAATTCTCGGGGTTCTGATTTGCTTGGGTTTATTAGTCAGAACCTTGACATATATTAGATAAACAATACTATGGCAAGATTTTTCTCCCCTTTTCCAGCAAACTTCAGCACAGTGTTTGTGTATGTAATTCTGTTAGGGGACACAAAAATGTAGCAAGACATCAAATTGTGGATTTTTCTCTTTCAAAAAAAGTGAAGTTCAGTCAGGAAAAAGGGAGATTGTTTTAAAAAGTAGGTAATTAAAGGAATTTTTTTATCCATGAATTGATGAGTCAGCCAGCTACCGTTCTGTCCTTTCCTTATCCAACAGAGAGCAATTTCAAAGTCAGGTTGGAGACCAAATAATGCCTGGCACACAAAATCACCTCGTCTTCTTGATCAGTAATTCAAGGAATGTTTCTGTTAAGGATTATTTCGGGGTGGAAGTTTGATGTGCAATTTATATTCAGCAATGTTCTTGACTTGTACAGAGACCACTTTCTTGAGGACAAATAAACTGTACTCAAGTCTAAACAACTATTGGATAAAAAATGCAATCAAACTCTATAAAGGTTACTCGAACTATTTTAACTTGACTCTAGTAAGAATTACTTAGATAAAACTAGCTAAATTGTATAGAATCTCAATATACATACGTAAACAGGATCTCTTTCCAGCTGTGCTTGCACCCCCTAGGCACAGGTTGCCTCCCCGGTGAACCAATTCAAGTTCCAAGTTTGTCCTGAATAAACAGAAAGGGAATAGCCTTATTTTAATTATTTACGAGCTCTAAAAAAACCTGGCCAATCAATCTGTAAAACTATCCCCCCCCCAATGAAAGGGAACAAGAACATGATGGAGTATGCATGGCAAACTAAATTGTGGTATTAATGTGAGGTAGACAATTTTGCCCTGAAGCTGCATGAATTCTTCCAGTCCCTGTTTTGTGCAGCCACAAAGGTCACCATCTCACCATCTAATTGTATCATTAAATTACTGCCCAGCTTCCTACAGCTCTTGACTGGGGGTGGGGCAGAGTTATAAAAGGCAATCTGCAACTACAAAACTACTGCTTGACCCTGCAACGGGGTAAAGGGAGCCCTGGTGGCACAGTGGTCAGAATGTAGTATTTCAGGCAGACTCTGCCCACAGCCTCGAATTCGATCCTGATGAGGCTCAAACTGGACTCAGCCTTCCATTCTTCCAAGGTCGGTAAAATGAGGACCCAGATTGGGGAAATATGTAAACAATGCTTCAACATTGTAAACCATTCAAAGAGTATGTAAACCATTCAAAGAGTGCTGTAAAGTGCTATGGGGTGGTATATAAGTCTAAATGCTATTGCTAAATGCTATTAACAGGGTAAAAGCAATTTGTACCCTACAAACGTGGACTCTTAACTCCTCCAGTTGCTATACAAATGAGTGGCAGATGGTAACTGAAATCAGGAAATTTTTTCTGGGTACCAGATTGCCCATCCCTGAGCTAATCCAAATAATGTAAAGCACTTGGAAGGATTTCGTTGAATACAAACTATTTTGCAAAAATTCCAATGGCATATGTCACAAAAGAACTCTTTTTGTACAAAATGTTTGTTAAAACATATTCACATTACTAAAATAGTAGCATTTCAAATAATAATATTCCTAAGTTTGCAGCTTATGTCACCACTTTTTTTGAAGGAATGCTTTAATCCTCCTTACATTGAGAAAAAGCAATTTAACAGTGAAAATGTTTAGGCTCTGAGCTCCATCTGGTTGCTGCTGATAAGGCCAGCCACATGACTAGGGAATTTTCCACTCTTCAGGCAATTTGCAGCACTCACTAAATTTCTAAAAACTTAACAGTAAAGCTGTGGCACAGATTTCATATTAGTGAACAGGAAAAAAAAATGCAAATCACATCTTAGATCATTAGATGAATTTTAAAATATTTATTTCCCGAAATCTCTTCAGGGTTCTTTAAAGGAATGGTAACTCACTGTTCTATAAAAAAGAAAGACATTATTGATCCCTGAGAAATAACAAAAGGTGGCCCCGGTCCTTGAAAAAGATTGCATAGAAAGAGAGGAGTGAGGAGGGAAAGGAAAACAAAGCTTTTCCAAAGGGGAAAAATAAAATAAACAGGGCTATGTTCTCTCAACTGAGCTAGTAAGAGTGGCCCTGCTTCCTGTCACTACCTCCGTTGTGGTGAAATGGCTGTTAGATGTTAACTAGGAGAGAACCAAAGGTTCCTCACAGAGCCTGGGATGGTCCAGTTTGCTCTCTGTCCTCTTCAGTCATTTTACCTTCCAAATTTAAAAAAAAAACGTTTTTCTTTAACCAAGGTAACATAGTTGTATGATAATTTGGGGGGGAAAAATTCAATACAATACAACTATCCATGACATCTATTTCATAATTTTGAATGTGTGGAACCAGCCACCACTTTTAATGGGATAAACAAGTAAACAAATCATTGGACTTTTAAAATTTCTAGAAGCATTCTTATAAACTGATATATTTTTCAGATAATGAAAACTATCCTGTACTGAAAGTACTATAACCTCATTCTTGGTGTTTCAGCAGTGTTAACATGTGTGTTGTAGAATTCATTTTTTCTTGTTGCAAATGGTTGGAGTATATGACCTTTAAAAGATATAAAGTCCAATAACACTAAAAAAAAACCTTTTAAGAAAAATCCTATGGTACAAATAAGTAACAACAAAAAGAACCCTATAAACTTAGTTCTTATTACCGTACTTTTACAAAGGTCAAAGTATACAACCATTCATCAGCTTAGAAAAATCACTGTTCCTCATAGCTCTCTTCTTGAAGGCTCAAGAAAAGGTTACTATCTTCCTGAAATACTCACATGCATTAATAACTCTGACGTATCATGCACAGACTATGTGCAAGTATGCCGTGAGACAATTCTACTGACTTTCAAAGTACCTAGCAGTGTCCGTCCCCCCCCCCCCCAAAAAAAAAAATCACTATGGCAAGAAAAGCTACAAAAAATAACCAAGCATCCATTCTGAACACATGGGACAGGCTATATTATAAGAATTACCAGAAAATATAATTTGTAATGCTTTGGAAATACTAGAAATCGGAATTTGTAATTGCAATAATTGAACATTATCAAGCTACAATTGTGATGAAATATTGTTTTCCTTGCAACTGGATCTACCCAATGAAGATTTTCCAGAGTCAAAGGGATTCTTTAATAGAATCCTCTGAGACATATTTATTTTATTTAAAAACTTATATAACCGTTTGTCTTATTTACCAGAGTACTGGATGACTCACAAAAAGCAATAAAATCATAAAACCTATACAAAATATTTGAACAATACTTTGAGGATAAAATCAATTGCTATTGATAAATTAGAGAAAGTGTCCATGACATAGTCTGATAAAAATCTTCTGAATCGTTTTCAGTTTTTATTACCAAAGTTATATGGAAACTTCTTGCTAAGTTCATCAATTCCCATTTATTCATTGTTGTACCCACATTTCCTCATTTCATAAACTTGTAGGTTGAGGGTTGTCCATTAAGGCAACTGAAGCAATCTTTACAATAATATTTTACCCACCTGGCTACCGAGTACATGAAAAGAAAATCATTGTCTGGTGATCCAGGAGTCTTGCTGTAGTCAGTGTATTTTTTCTGGGTAGTATTTTTGATATCTTTCATCACTGACTCCATTTCTTTACTTAAATTGGTTTCTGACTGTTAAAGAAAAGGCGGCTTGAATTTAATTAGCAAAACTAACATCAATAACAGAAAAAAACACAGAGAATGAGTTCTGCAAATATAAGGCAATGAAATATTAAACAGAACTATACAATATTACATTATAACTTAACAGAGGGATGTTCAACAAACTCTTAGCTATTCAATCACTGGAGGTCATTGACAGAGATGTTTTAAAACAAACACTTCCAACATGCTAGCCTTTCATTAAGATTAGATATATTAATATTTTTATTATATTCTTGTTTTTGAAATCACTTTAATAAAAAAAATAGTCTATATTCTTTTAAAAGCTAAGCAGTACAAAGAAAGAAAAAAATTGAAAGTCAGACCCTACTAATCAGAATTGTAATAGCTGCTCAAAAGTATGTAATTGTAATTTATTTCCAGGTAGATTTGGATTAATTGGACCCTAAAGCTTATACATGAAAGTGTATTTTTAAATGTCTTATAAAGCTTCAAAATATAAAACTACATATAAAATGAATTAATCCACAATGTTTATCATAACAATAAACATTCTAAACTGGAAGGTTTTAAATAGCTTTTAGTCATAAATGCAATCTTTTTTACACTATTACAACAATTCTTGAAATATGATTTAGTCCTATTAAAAAGAAGCTGGAAAGCATGGGTTTAATAATCAATATTTACTTATATTAAAATGCAACAACAAAATGCTGAGATAATCATAACTTTATTTTAAAGGTGATATCATTGAATTGAATCTGTTTGAAACTAATTTTCCTGAAACATTTACATTTAATGGAGAAAAGTAGACAATGTTTGGCTTTTACTAAATAGGTGATGAATAAAGAGAAAGAAGATGGAAAGACAAATTAACAAGGATCTTTCTGCCTTACACTGATGCTTACTGGGAAAGTTCCCAGCTGCTCTTGAAGTTCTTCAACCTCCTTGATGAGCTCCTGCATATTCTTGGTACTATGACACTGAGAAAGGTTTCGCTCTACATTGTTGCCGGGATAACATGGAAGGACACTGTTGGCGAACTGCCTACACAGAGGACACGTAAATTCTCCCTTGTCCACAGCAAAACCCTGGAGAACCTGATCGTTCTAAAAGAAACAACAAAATAAGTGAATTTCGGGAATGGCAAGCATTTGTAACTGTAACAATTCCAAAGGAAGTGGGGATTAAACATGAAAGAAACGAAGACTGCTGAAAGATGATAGGCTTACTTTGAAATTTTAAAAAACTGAAATACACACAGTCCTCTTAGTAATTTTTGAATTTCCTCATATCTGAATTTGGTAACAGTCCAGATACATACAAACTATATTATCTATATTATTTTTAAATATTTACAGTAGTTATTTATTCGCATCCCACTCTTAGCCCCGCTTGCTCATGTTCTAGCACTACTATCAGTGAAGTTATAGATGTCTTTGTCTTTGGACTGCAGTTTTCTTGGCAACGTTTTCAGAAGTGGTTTGCCCTTGCCTGCTTCTTCCCAGGGCTGAGTGTGTGTGACCAGACTAAGGTCACCCAACTGGCTGTGTGATTAAGGCAGAGCTAGAACTCACAGACGTTTGGTTTTTACCCTGGTGCTTTAACCACTACACTAAACTGGCTCTCAAAGCTGTGTTTACTGTCTCCTAATCTGTATCTCTTTGTCTCCTAAGGGCTTGTTGTGGTGTGTGTATGTGTCAGAAATTACCCATTAATAAGCAGTGAGAGTTTACACTGGTCAATTGGCAGGCATAGCAAGGATTAAAAATGCTTTTGATTCTTCCCTAGGTGCTGCATTAACATTATTTTATATTTATTTTATATTTATTTTATTTGTATCCTAACTTTATTTTTTAATAAATGAACAATGAACATATCTAATATTCATTCCACCTATTTTCTGCACAACAACCCTGTGAAGTGGATTATACTGATGGAAAGTGACTGGCCAGTCACCCAGTTGGCTTTCATGCCTAAGGCAGGACCAGAACTCCCTCCTAGACCTAACTGGCCATGAGCCAAATACTAAGGAAACTGAAAAATAAGGATGAAAGCTTAATAATATGTCTGAGTAAGAGGCTACATTAAATGTGTTTTTAATTAAGATTTTATTTAAAAACCATCTGTACATTTTTAGTTGGAAAAATAACTATGTTTATTCTCACTTGGGCAATATTCAACATCGCTTTCAATTCCTCAGCTTTTAACATAGCTTCAGACTAGACCATATCCGTGAAAGGAACCATAGAGACTACAAAATCCATGCCTTGATCAGGGCAACAATGAAATTAAAGCATCCTTTAGAGATGGCTATCTAGTAATTGTCTATGTGATCCAAGGAAGGAGGATCAACCAACTGTACATGCAGTTAGTTTCTACAATGGATCTCCTCTTATTGTTAGGCGGTGTCCCCCCTGCCCCCCCCCACCCCGGTGCAATTGGATCTGCCCTCCTGTAACCTAAATTCATTATCCCTTATCTGAATCTGGAATGAAAAAAACATGTGATGACCTTCTTCTCTCTGATATACTTCTATATATTTGAAAAGTAGTATTATATTTCCTCCCTCATTTACCCACATAACCTTTCCTCAAATAGAAACATATAATATCCAGATCTTCCCATCTGTCCCCATCAGATTTAATTTATATCCCCCAATTATTCTCAAGTTTTTATCTGTACTGTTCCAATTTCCCAGAATCCTTAGAACAGAGCTCAGTATTGGACACAGTACTCAAGATGGGGACCTAATAAAGGAATAATAAAGTGTGTCTAGGAAATTCTTCTTCTGTTGTTGCAACCTAAAACAGCGTTTTCATTCTTTTTGCAAGTATAACACATTGCTGCCTCATATTTACTTGGAATTAACCACTATACCAGTATCTCTTTTAAAAAGTAGCAAGCCAGATATGTATAAGGTATCTCTCCCAAAGTTGTGTGCCTTGGAAATTTTATAAACATTGCTTCATATCTTTAATTTATTAATTAAAATATTAAATAATGCAGGACTTAGGACTGAAACTTAACTATCAAGATATACTATGCTTACTGCATTCCCACTCTATAGTAAAAGTTATCCAATTAAAGTATAAGTAGGCTGACAAGACTTGTTTCAGCAGCAGACTTTGTGAATATTTTTTTAAAAAAACAATTCTTAATTTTAAAAAACATTAAGACAATTTAGCTTGTCTTCTGATTCTTTTACTTGTTCAGATCATCAGGACTAAATAACTTCCAATACATTAAGCTTAGTTTGCTATTTATTTCTATACAAAAATTATACAAGTTACAGTTGTAGCTAAATAAATTATCCTGTATTACATTCTTAATTTTAATGAATTACAATTTGCATGAATAAGAATATTTTCCATCCTATTGAACTTCATGTACAATTTGTGTTTCATATACATAGCTTTAGAAACAAATGTTTTAAAAATGCATTAGCCATATTAATTGGAGGATAAACTACAGTGGAGAGTGTTTTTACTGTCATATTACAAAACATTGCTACTGAAATCTATATTCTTTATGAATTGGATAAAGTATTGTAGAATGTTTATAAACGTGGATTTCCTTTCTTATATATTAAAAGTTCCTATAGTTCATTAAGGTCCCACTAATATCTACTGGAAACTCATAATAATTTAATAATTAAAAGATTACAAATGAAACATTTCATTTTATCTTACCCGCAGAGATTCCATATAGGATTTATGACAATCTATGTGTAACGTATGGCCACATGTTTGCACATATACACCTCCTTCCCAGCCAATTGATACTGATTGCAGACAAGAACTCTAAAAAGTAAAGCATAACATTTAAGATAATACATGTGGAGTCATTATTACTTTAAAATATAGGACACTACTTCATTAAGATACTTACAGTTTTATTAATGAGCAAGAGTGGCATAGGCACTGTTAAATCTAAAAACAACTGCTGAAGTTATTAAATAGTTGTAGTATTTTGAATGAAAAGAATATAAACAAATACAAAGAATAAAAAATAAAACATTTCAATATAAAATATGAAAAAGAAAAAGAGAAAAAAAGGAAAATAAAGAAGTAACTTCCCCCTTTAGCCTAATAAAGACAATTTTAAAAGCTTATCACCATTTCTAAATTCATAATTTTTCTTCAGACCCATAGCTCATCTCTTCAATAAAAAAAAAAAATCTAAAAATGTTGTCAGTCATTCTGTCAACAAAGGTTCAGCAAAGCAACCACATATGATTTTACCGTTAGCTGTTTGAACAAGCAAACCTTGTATTTCTTCCCTATGTTTTAAGAATCTTATTTTAACCTCTTCAAAATGAGTTCCAGAACTAGTTTTTATTTCTTTTTTTAAAGCCAGAAATCTTTCAGAACATTTAACAGATTTCTTTTATATATCCAAAAAGTAAAGTTTCTCCTTCTGTTTGTCTCTAACAGTCCTTCAAGAAATACCAAAAAAGCTTTTTTTTTCCAGTAAGAAAAAGTTATCCAAGTCAGTTTCCCGGTTCAATGATTGTGCATCTCTTTGAAGGAGTAAGTTATCTATTAGTTCCATTTGTGTGCCCATATCTTTCTCTATTTCCTTCACATTGCCTATCACATTTAAGTCCTCCTTCAAAATAATTTCAAAATTATCCGTTGCAATTTATTCTTGTTTTGCAACTACATGCTCTGTACATCTTATTAAGAAATCTGTTTATCTTATCAAGATGTTTGTTAGACAAATATCCAAAAACTTCTGTTATAGATTTCTGCTACATTCTTTTCTTTATCCTCTAGCTCCCTCTAGTATCCAACATACAAAGTTCCCCTTATCATAGAAAGATCATAAATAATTGTCATTTCCCATGGATTTTTTTCCTTATAATTCAAAGCTATAATTCCAAATTAGGTTTTTAATTTCCAAAATCCACATTCCAAGCACCCATTTGCTGCATTATATATCTTCCTCTAAGGAGAAGGGCCTTCAGCTGACATATACAGATAAATGTCTTTACTAGGCTAAAGGGGGAAGTTATTTCTTTATTTTCCTCTTTTCACCTTTTCTTTTTCATACTTTACCAGCTGAAAGGTCTTAATCTTTCCAGTACAATTTAAAAAAAGAAAGAAAAAAGTGATTAACAAACATGCCTTGGTTGAGCTTAATGTCCATAAAAGGCTACATTATGAGGGTGAGCTTGATGGAATCCAGCTTCCTAGCCATTCAAATCATAAACTGACCACAAAATAATCTGCTCATGAGTGTCGGCTTCTGGAGTCAGCAATCTCAACAATCTTGCCTTCCTCTATAGAGAGATTCAACAACCTAGATCCAGCATCCAGCCACAATTCTCATAAATGCCTTCACAGGAACCCCAGGACTGTTACAGTTATAAGAGTTACAGTTATAAGAGTTATTATTATAGAAATTAGCCTAGAAAACATTATATTATACACACTGACTAATAGCGGTTGCATTTGGAATACAACACACGGTAAAGCTTTCATTTAACATTTTTAAAACAAATTTGTAATTCGTTAAAATTATCTCTTGAAGCCTTTTATAATAATTTTAATTATATGTACTATTATATGTGCTGTTAAGGAAATTAGCAACAGGATTTATTTTTTCTGTTCACAGCATTTCGGCAGACAATTCAAAGGATTTCAGAGGTATACATTTTTCTGATAACCAAAATAGATTTATTTTTTCTCGCTATGATTATTTTAGTAGCTAATCTTCTAGAAAAAACAATCATTTGACTCTATATTAATGTATAGATTAGTTTCAAGTTTTTGAAGAAATGCCACAAGAGATTCTATTACAGAAATAAATAATGTAGTCTGATTAAGTGCTGACATACTGACTCTTAACATAGTTTCTCCCTAGTATTTCTCCAAGGTAATCTGTCCTGACTCTAGCCTTTTACATCTGTCAATGGTGTATCCACTGCTGCTGTAGTTGTGTCCACCCATCCTGCTGGTGGTGATTGTTTGTTGATATGCCCCCTTTGTTTTTAGAAATAGCTCAACTTAGTGAACATATCCAATACACCTTCCTCCTATTTTTCCCACATCAAAAACCCAGTGAGGTGAGTTGGGCTGAGAGAAAGTGACTGGTCCATGGTCACACAGCTGGCTTTCATGGCTAAGGTGGGACTTGAACTCTTGGTCCGTTGCTTTAGACCAAATATTATAGAACTTTTCAAGGAGCTGGGTTTTTGCATAATATATCCAAAATATAATAGTTTGCAGTTTGTGTCTTAAATGAGAACTCTAGATTCAGAGGTGGGCTGAGCTTTTGTTGGCAAGGGGTTTGCTAGTCATGGTGCGCGTACGCATGCTTTGCTCACACGTGACGCTTTGGGGCTGAAACGCAGCTTCAAACAGGCAACTAATCGACTCAGGCAGCTCCGGTGAGTATAGCAGGGCAGCATGGAACTCACCTGGGTGGCCTGGGCAGGGGAAAAGTTAGTTATTTAGAGAAAGCATAGCACAAGGGCAGGTGGGCGGGCCCAGCCAGAGATCATAGCTAGGGGTTCGCCCGAACCTTACCAACCACCCAGCACCCACCACTGTCTAGATTGCTTTGTTCTATGATCTATTTATTTATATTCCTGGCTATCAATGGTATTCTGAAGACCCTTCTCCAATGCCAAAGTTCAGAAGTGTTTATATTTTATATCCTGCTTCTTTAAATTCCAACTTCTGCATGCGTAGCTGCATCACAAGAAAGTCATTATCTACATAGTTCTAATTGTTTTGGATATAGAGCCCTGAACATCTTTTCCACAGCCTTTATGGCTGCCCAATCAAGTGCAAATCTTTGTCTATTTCTTGATAACTGATTCCTTTACTGTTGATAGCAGAGCCCCAAAAGCTGACATTATCCACCATTCTATGTCAACTTTAAGGCTGTTCTAACCAGTTCCAAGACTGTTGGTCGTATTGCTGTCATTAGTTGGGCCTTTATATTTAGTTATACTCCTACTTTTTCAGTATATTCCTTGACTTTCATTAGTAGAGCTTCCTGCTCATTTGCAGTTTTTTTGCATTTTCAGCTATTAAAGAAGGGTTATTCAGCTATGAAAGGAGTGTTAGTGCAGGTTATTTATGTTTGTTCTTCTAACTTTGAAAGCACAATTACCTTTCTCCAAACTGACTTGTCTCAACAGACTCAGCATATGAGCAGAACATAATGAAGCACACTGGGTCCAGATCAGGAAAGGAGTGCAACAAGATTTCCTTCAACAAAATCATCTTTACAAAACTTTATATCATAAGCACTATTTCTAAATACAATTCATTACAAGAAAATTAAATAGAATAGTCTTCCACTATACAGCTACAAAATCTACGTACATCTTTAAAGAACTGTTGTAAAGTTGCAAGGCGAGTTTCATATACTGCTGCACAAGTATCATTAGGATATATTTGTTCCTTTTCAGTTGTTGGTAACTTCTTAGGCTCAGTAGTATTACGGCACTGCCCCAAAACTAGAGAAAGAGAAAGAGAGATGGTGGGAGAAGGAGAGGGAGAAAGAGAGATTTTAGAAAATGGAATTAAAGTGCATCCCATCCATGCAGGGTAAGGGACTTAAAAGAGTCACAGAACTGACTAAATAGCTGGCACTGAACTATCAAAATTTCTTGTATCAGTATTATATTGTCAAGAAAAGGTTATTATCAAGAAAATGTTACATTTTATTTTAACAAATAGTTTATATTAATGCCCTTCTCTTCATTCCCAATGGAAAATGGAATTTCCCAATGGAAAATTTAGTACAAGTTGTACTCTTCAAAATAGACACTGGCATATTTTATTTAACCTAATGTTTCTGTTCTCTAATAAGTGAAAAATGGGATCACTTCTCTCTGCATTAAAAAAGGTATATTCCTTGCCTCTCGTTATCCTATTAGTTCCTTTGCAGTACACAGCAGCAAATATTCTCAAACAAATGCATTCTACATCTCATTAATCTGTTGGTGCTACAATAGTCTGATTTTGAAGCCATACCTGAAGAAGCTTGTAAGAGAACAACTAATCCTGTTGGTCGCTCTTCAGTGGAAGGGCCACTTTGGCCACAAATAACACAATCATAGATAGCTTCAGAAACATGTTCTTCTGCTGTTGCAATCTCCATAGCAATATCAGCATCTGGCGATTCTAAGGAGTGGAGAAATGACACTATAAGTAAACAACAGTCTCATAAGGTAATAATAGGGAAAATTAATTGTAATTTGAACCATCACAGTGTGAAGTTTATTGCTTTTGCCCTGGAGGATGCCTTTTTATGGTCAGACTTTAGCAATGTAATACATAATCTCCATGCATTAAAAAATATTTGTTGTAACAGGCAGCACAAGCCTCTTCCGCTGTAAGAAAAGCCTGGGAGCCTTTCATGTATTCTGCAATGTTGCAAAATTTATTTATTGGATTTTGCAACATATTAAGTCTTATTAAGTGCTAGCATACAACATGAGTGGTCCACCAATCATAGCTGAGTTATGAGATCCCAGCATGTGGACTGCTAAAATGAAAACCGAATGGGAATGTCTGCGCTGAAAAATACGATTCAAACGTGGCGTGGGCTTCATTTTCCTCTTGCTTGCTTGTTTATTGGGTAACAGTCACACTGTCTGATACAGCCTGGGTAATATGACCTTGAAGAAGATCCTCCAAAGTTCAACTAATCACTTGTGACTCATTGTTAGTGGCTTTGGGGATCTGCTGCCCTTAGGCTTTTTTCACCCAGAGTGACTAACAAATGTTATGACTAACTACAGCAAGCCTACTTAAATAAAAGCCTGGCAATGTTTGCAAGAGCCCACTGGGTGATCTTCCCAAAGGACAAAATAACAAAGTCATTTGAACAGCAGAGATGAAGTATTGACACTGGTGGAATAAAACCTTCAAAGGTGGAGGGTTGATGCCAGCAGGTTAAAAGAGAAACTCTGTAAACTCCATCCAACAAGAGACATCGGTACATCAGAACTGATAAAGAATGAAATAAATTGAATTGACTACTGAAACCATGAACTCATGGTCTCCCTGCTTTCTAGCCTAGTGCATTACCCACTAGAGCCCAATGGTCACCAACCGGTGGGCCGTGGCCCAAATTTTGGTGGGCCGCAGCATGCTGAGGGGGGGAGGCGGGGCAATCCTGCAGTCTCCCGTGTCGTGGCTGCTGCCTCCTGCCTCAGTGCATTGAGGAAGCCGAGCAGCAGTGGGAAGAGCGCAGACCTCCTGAGCCGCAGGAAGCAGCTGCGCACAGCTGAAGAGGCTCGAGCCCCTCTTCCTCCTCACCAGAAGCAATCACACGCTCAGCGGGAAGGAAGAGGCTTGTCAGGGTCCAGAGGGGCGGCGAGCGCTTTGCGCGTGAGCGCTTCTGTCGAGGAGGAAGAGAAGCTTCTGGGGAGGCCGAGCGTCCAACTTGCAACATCTTCCCTTGAGGGCATCGCTGACATCTGCTCAACCTCCTTGATGCATGGAGGAAAGAGGCAGGAGGGGACACCAATTCAAAGGATCCTTTCCCCTCACCCCCTCGCAGGCCAGGTCTATGCATCGGCATCAGTTTCCTCGGCACTCTGCCCCCCCCCCCCGCACAGCCCCAGCCATCGCTGCCGGGGGAAAGCACAGGAAAAGCTAGCAGAAACATAGCTCTTGCTGGGGCGAAAGAGCTCAGATCAAGGAAGGCACAGGCAAGAGAAGACGGAAGTTGCCGCCTTTGAAAAGCACTGTTTTCTGTTGCCTGTGCCTTCCGATCTCTGCTCTTTTACCCCAGCGAGAGCTGTTTCTGATCTCTTTTCCTGGGGGGGCAGCAGAGACGTCAGGGCTGCTCTCCCCCCTCAGCAAGCCAGGCCTGGAGGAACGCGAAGAATTGCGGTTGAGTGCTGGAGAAAAGTGTGTTGGAAATGCCAATACACGTTTCCAGCATGCTTTCCTCTGTCCCGAAGTAGGATTGAATGTTGGGAAGGGAGAAGGGAAGGAGGGAAGGAAAAACCCGGCTGGCTTTCCTTTGACATGGGGAGGGGGAGATCAAATGTACAGACCAAAAGAGTGCCGAGGAAGACAGGCTCCTAATAACCAGCCTGTTTCTGCAGGCGAGAGCTCCAGCTTTTCTGGGCTCAACACCCCCCCCCCCACTTCAGCCTCCACAGAGGGAGGGATCCTTCCCTGCTTGGAAGCAGAGGGAGAAGCCTGGAGCTTAGCCTCAGGGAGTCCTCTTCTTATGTGGAGGCTGAAGGGGAGGCATGTTGCCTGGTTATTAAGAGTCCGTCTTCGCCGGCACTTCCAGCCTGGATCCTCCTGCTCTCCCCCAACTCCAGGCAGCCACACCTGGCAAAGGAGGGAGAGGTTTCCTCTGACTTGGGGGAGATTTGAGATGGCTCTGCTTTTCTTCCATTTGAGGGGGAGCTGGTTCCTCCCCTTCCAGATCTTCCCAGCCTCCAGGCACCATGTGGCTTCTTAAATCCTCCCTCTTCCCCCCCCCCCAAAATAAGAGAGGCCCCTCCTTTCCCTTCACTCTGCCCCACAGTTATGATTAAGCATTTACGATTTTGTTATAATTAAATAAGTATGTATGTATGTATGTATGTATGGTATTCAGCTTTGTTCGGGTATTTTCCCACGTCATTGTAGTTGTGCTTTTAAAGTTGTAGCAACGTTTCG